ATTAGCAAGCCTTCTATAACTACCCAAGCTCCTTTAATACTCTAAACTTTAATACTATTAATCTATAGGCTTTTAATAATACTACGGCTTGCAAGAACTAGCTACTATACTTTACTAACTTGAGGAATCTATTCTTTGGCTATTTTATTATTCTTAATAAGTTATAAAGATATTATTAGTATAATAATTATAAGTTATAGAATTAAAGGTTCTTAAGATTATAAGAATTTCTTTTAAGTATATTTTAAAATAAAGAATAAATTAGAATAGTCTTAAATTATATAAATGCATTATATATATTCGAGTTTTTTTTTCTTCCTAGTAAGAAAATAAAGCTGAAATAGTAGTATATATAATAGGGAAAGTAAATATAATAATTAGATATATTTAAGGTAATATAGTTATAAATTAGAAATAATTATAGAAAGTAAAATATAGAATTAGGCTTTAATTACGGAAAAGAATATAAATATATATACCTAAAGAAATATAATTAAAGAAATAGTTAAGGCAGGTTAAACTAAATAGTAATAATAAGGAAATAAAAAGATAATATAATAGAAATATAAATATAATAGTAATATCTAAAGTATTAGAATATAAAAGAAAATAACGAAAATTTCATAATATAGGTATATTCCGATCTCTTATTTATTTAGAGATATTCCTATTAACTTAAAAAAATAATATAAAAGAAGAGAAATAATATAAGAAATATATAAAAGGTAAGGTATATAATTATACTAAAGATATTAGAGAAAATATAAAGTAAGTATTAATAGAAAAGGAATTAGAATAATAGGATTAAGAAATAACTTAGAATAAGATATTACTTTTTCTAAAACTAATCCGTATCTCTTTTAAAAGCTAATTGCATTTATTTAGTACTTATTAGAGTCGACTTTAAATAGTATAAAACTATTTAGTTATTTAGGGCTTTAAAGTAATATCTATATTAATAAAAGTAATACTAAAGGCATTAGAGTATATAAAAAAGAGAACTATAAGATAATATAAATGGGGTTTATAATATTATTATTGAGTTTGAAATAATTAATATTAAAGTTAATATAAAACGTAAAAAGATTAGGTATTCCGAATTAGTATTAAGGATATGGGAATTATTTAGACAATATTTAATAGTAAGAAATAGATTAATAGTAAGAATTAGCGAATTATACTAGCTTTTTAAAGAAGTAATTGGTTTCCGGTAATAAAACGGTATCTTAATTAGGGAATGGGTTCTATATAAAAGAAGTTCTTTATAGAAATAGGAATATATAATATACTAACCAAGCCTTAGTATGTGCTTTTAAAGTAGCTATAGTATGTGCCTTAAGTATAGCCACGATTATATTAAAGAAAAAGTAGGTTTTCTAGTATAAAGTAGACTTTAAATAAGTAAATTCGGTTTATCTAATATCTAAGAGATTTCCAGAATTATATATTATTAAGCTTCTTCGGAAATGTTTATTGAGTTTAATAAGGTTTCCCTTTCCTTTTATAGGGCTTCTAGTTTATTTATTCTATTTATATATAACTCCTAATTAGGAAGTTTATTTGGATATTATAAGGAAACTTGTAATAGTAATTCAAGTTAAAGTCAAGATCTATAAATATTATAGTCAAGTTTTAGACTAGTATAAGTCATAAGAATAGCTAGTTAAAAAGGCAAGTAAAGCTTCTAAAAGGTTCCTATTTTAGTAAGATATATATAAAAGGCCATATTTCTTCTTTTCTTTTTCTTTTACCCTAATTCTAAATATAATTACTATTTATTACTATAGTTCGGAATTAAGAGTCTATAAATTAATCTCTCAATCCCCCATTTATTTTTTATATTAAAAAGAATTCTTTATATTTAATTCCCAAGATCTAGTAATAGAATTTTATATTAAGAATATTATCTAGTAATAATAATTAGATAATAGTAAGAAATAAATAATAATAAAGCTTATCTAATTTCCAGAATAATAGTCTAATAATAATATTCTCTAGAGGCCGTAAATAATAGTTAGGAGAAAAAAATAAAAGATATATAAAGAATTAAAAATAACAAGCTTTATTTCAGGTTAAGAAAAATTCCTATTATTAGATACTTCTTCCTAGTTTTCTATAAAAGAGACATATTTTACTCTTTCTAATTCCGGTAACTCTAGAATATATATAATAATACTAGTAGCTTTCTTAATCTTCTAAGTACTATTTTGCTTATAGTACTCTATAACTGCTTCCTTTTCTAGTTCTATATTTATTTTAAAATATTTATTTACAGGTATATACTTATTATTAACTTCGTTTTTAGGAAAGTACTAGAATCTATTTCTTTTTATAAACTACTTAAGTTAATTCCTAGTATATATTCTTTAGAGTATAGTACTATTAAGCTTTTCTAGTATATAGTATTCTTTTAGTTGATTTATATATCTTACTTTATATAGGCCAAGCTAGTAATATAGTAGCTTCGTATTCCTTAACTTATCTTAATTTATTAATTTAATATTATATATAAGAATTAGATCCTTTTCAGAAATAGGCTTTATATAAATCTGGTAAGTAGTATTAAATTACTCTTTTTCCTCTCGGTATTATTTATTCTTCTTTATTCTAGCTTCTTTAATATCTTTGTCTCTTATTTATATTTACTTTATATATATTTCTAGAAGTATTTCTCTATTATAAACTTTGTTTTATTCAAGTATTCTCTAGGTTAGAAAGCATATTTCTATAAATAGTATAGCTTCCTTGTTATAGACTATATAAAAGAGAATAAATCTAGTTAGTTTATATATAGTAATTCGGTTAGTAAATAGAATATATAATAATAAATCTACCTAAGGCTTCTTTTTACTTATTATAAATATAATAAATACTTGAATAATTAGTTAATATCTTCTTTTAATTATACTATTTTCTTTAGAATTATAGGCCAAAATAATAATTTAGTTAATTCCTAGTTTATTAAGTTCCTGAATTACTACTTCTTTGAATTCTAATCTGCTATTTACCTTAAACTATTTAAATAAACCATACCTATAAATAATTTCTTCTCAAATAAACTTGATAATTTTCTTACTAGTTAGGTTCTTTAAAGATCTAGCCTTAACCTATCCTGAGAAGTCATCTCTAGTAATAACTAACAAGTTATATTCTTTATAGTCTAGTAGTTTAATTATATTAATCCCAAGGTAATAGAAAAGAAATATAGCTTTTATTAAATATAAAGCTTTTTCTTATCTTCTTTTACTCTTATATTAATAGACTTTATAAATATTAATATATTTCCATATATAGTTATAATAACCTTCCTAGTAATAGTAGCTAGCTACTAAGTAAAAAGTACTTTCTTTTCCGGTATATCTAATCTTATTATATAGCTCTTTAATAATAATTTCCCTTTACTCTTAATTATTAATAATAAGTCAAGATAGGTATATTTTAAATATAACTCTCTAGAGTAATTAATCTCTTATACTATAATTCATAGCTTCTTTACTTAACTTTTAAAACTCGGCTCTAGATATTTCTTCTGGTCTAGAGAGTATTATAAGGTATTATATAATATTCTAGTATTATTTAAAATAGCTATTATCTAAGAAGTCTAGTAAAATAGTCGGGTTATTAAATAAAACATGTGAGTTAGTATTATTATCTACTATTTTACTAGTAATTATATATAAAAGGCCGCGGCCTTTACTATATAACTTCCGGATTTTTTTTTTTTTTAATATTACTAATTTGCTTCTAGATATAATAAGGCTTTAATTATTAATCTCTAGTAACTAAATACTATTATCTAAATATCTAATAAAGGTTTTAGGAATCTAATTCCTTAAAATAATATCATATAACTAAACCAGAACTACTTCCTTTAACTAAACTTTCTGCCTAATAGGTACTATTCTAATAGTATTAAGCTCTATTACTAATTATTTATTAATATTCTTATTATTTTCGGTATTGCCTTCTCACTATAGGTATCTCAATAATCCATTAGTAGTAGTATACTTAGTTTCTTTAATATACTTGACTTTAAAGTCAAATAGTTAAATTCATACTAGCTAGTAAGTAACTAGAGCTTTAGGAAAATCTATAGCCACTTTACTTGGTTATATAACAAGTATATTAGTATCTAGTTCAAGAATAAAGTAAACTCTATATAGCCAGAATTATACTTTCTATAAATACTTTACTAGCCCTTAATATTCTCTCTTAGTAATATTATATCTCTATTTAGTATTATTCCAGATTCTAGACTAATATTATATAACTTTCTTTTTTCTTTTATTATTATATTAATTAAGAATTCCGCCCTATTTATCTAGGCTAGTTTTTACTACTAATATAATTATTCCCTAACCTTCTAATAAATTATAGTATAACTTATAAAGTATCGGAATAGTAATAAGCTTTTCTTAAAGAATTTATATAGCTTGCTTTTATTTATTATCCTAGTTCTATATTATACCTTTCCTTATTAAGTAGTAAATGGATTTAGTAATAATTACAAAGCCTTTAATCTAAATATAATAGTAAATAATAATTCCAATAAATATCTTGCCTTTAGTTATACTATTATAATACTCCTATCTCAAGATCTTAATAATTCCTGAGCTTAAAGGGCTTCTTCTAAGTACTTTATAAATAAAGCTAATAATAACTATATTATTATAATAGAACTATAATTTTTTTCTAATACTAGCTCCGGTTTATTTAACTTTATCTAAGATTATATCTAGGTTTTAAAGGTACTCAAATACAAAATACTAAATTCCAGGTAAAATAAGCTACCTATTATAGTCTATATAAGGTCCCTTAACTCTAATATTATTAATAAATAGTATAGCAATTTTAGGAAATAGATTCTCTAGAATAGTTATAATAACCCGTATAAACTATATAACGAAATTAGTAGCTCCCTGAGATAGTATAGTTATTCTTAATAGCCCCAGAGGCATTATAAATGTAGTTAAATCTCTATTACAAGTATCTAATATAAGTTAATTATATCCAGAAAAGAAATTAATTAGAGAGATATAAATATATCTAATAAATTCCTCTAAGATCTTATTAGTAGATAGGAATAGGTTAGTATCCCGTAGGGTTACTAAATTTATCTTTATAGCAGTATTAATTAGTCTATAAGTCCCAGTAACCTTTTTTATAACCAAGAACTATAGATTTTAGTAAGATCTATTATATTTCTTAAGAACTTTATAATCTAGGTATTCTAATAATATTTTTACTATTACTAGTACTAGAGCTTTAGGATATGAGAAATTCTTCTCTTATTAGGCTTTATATTTAATAGTCTTAATTAAAATAAATAGGCTAATATCTTTATAGACTTTTCTTACTTCTTTCTAATTAAATATAATTATATCTTCTTAATTAACTATTAATTTTCGGAATATAACTAGTTCCTTTTCCTAGAACTAGTTACTAATATCTAATTATTTAAGATATTCCAGAGTAAGTTATAAATCTCTTGAAATAGCTAATATTCTTAGTAAAAGATAATTCTTATACTTCCCAGTATACTCTTATAGGTATTCTCTAGCTTTAGATTTCTTAAACTAGTCCGGACGTCTACTAGGGCCTTTTCTAGTTCTATTATTAGTATCTATTAGTTAAACCTTCTTATTCTTTATTTTATATATTTCTATAACTAGAAATAAACTATAGTTATTATCTTTTTCTTTAAAAGCTATAGCCATTTTCTCTAGTACTCTTTTCGTCTAATCTCCGGAGTTTATAACCTTCCTATTTAATTCCTTTCTAGTTAGATATAGAGAGAGCCTTTTCGTCCGGTATTTTAATATACCTTCCTTAAGCTCCTATATATTCCAGAATTCTTTCTAGTCTTGGGTTTAATATTTCTTAGCTTCGGGAATATATTTCTTTACTATTAGGAGATATTACTTTATCTTTTCTTTAGAAATATCTTTATTTAATATTCTTTTTATTTCCTTTTCTATTAAATCCGGAATAACTCTTAATAATATTCTAATTAGAGACTTTTCTGCTTTAGTTTCTCCAAAAATATTATTAATTTTTTAAATTTTTAAATCCAAAATAAAAGAATCTATAGGAAATCCCAGTATCTTTCTATTTTCCCTAATATTACTACTAGTTATAATACCAGGCTCTATTTTTCCTCTTTATCTTTAGTTTCCTGCTCTATATTATTTAATTCTTTAATTCTGGAAACTTAGTATTTTTAAACTATTATTTTCTTCTACTTTCTAGTATTCTTTAAAAGTAAAATAATTATAATAGTATAGGTATTCTAATTATTTTTAGGGTTAATAAACCTTTTATCTTATAAACTATTACTCCTATATATAATATTTATCTTTATCTTTACTAAGAATAATTAATTAAGCAGGATCTTTAGAGCCCCTTTAACTAGGAAAAATATGTTTTTGTATCCTACTCTATTTATAACCTTAGCTCTAAGCTTTACTATTCCTATAAATCCAAATTCTGCCCTAGTAATAATAGATATTTAATAATCTATAGTATTATATACTACTTTACTAATATTTCTAGAGATCTTTTCGGGGAAAATATTAACTTTAGCTCTAGTATTAATTATTTCTTTATATTTAATACTTCCTTAAGATCCTCGAAATACAAATTAGAGGTATAAAGCTCGTATAATATATTTATAAGCCAGTAATATCCAAATATTAATACTATTACCTTTAAATTAAATAATTCTATTAGTATTAGATACCTGAACTAGTATTTCTAATCCCTTAAATATTCTATCTATTATATAAGCCATAGCTACTAGTTCCGCAGATCTTCTAGTATATCTAACTATACTTAATATAATAGTATTTCCTATTTATAAGATAGTAAAATAAGAAGTATTATCCTTAATTTATTAGTTCTAAAATATAGTAGCTAGATCTAGTATTTTCAAGGCATTAATAAGTATTCTTATTCTCTTCTAAATCTTCGGAAATAGAATAATTGCTTTCTTTAGTAGTCTTATTAGAATATTATTAACTTTAGGAATTCTATACTTATTATAATTAAGGATATATTAGGTCCCTAATTTATCTTATTTATCCCCGGAAGTATTAATATCTATATCCTTAGCTAGGCCGTCTCCTTATTTATTACTTCTTAAAGTAGTATTTTTCTGGCCTCTTATATAGAATAGCTTCTCTTCTATTCTAGCTCGTTTTCGGAAAACCTCTTTAGCTATTTCTACCTCTTTTCCCTTTCTCCTTAATAAGAAACCTATTATAATATTAATAGAAATACTATTTATAGCCAAATCTTGGTATTATTTATTAATTCCAGAATCTAAAGTATTAGTAATTCCAATATAATTTCCTCTAAGGCAAAGCGGCTATTCAGATTCCCTAGGTATAACTTGCTTGCTTTTATATACAGATCCCGGTTAGCTAATTCCCTTTTCTCTTTCTTGCCTAGTAAATTAGGTATCCCCTATTAATCTCTAGATATTTTTGGGTCGAGTATTTAAGTTATAGTTAAATTCTCTTCTTTAGACTTGGGAAACGATTTAGTTAAATTACTAGTACTTACTAGTAAGGAAAAAAGAAATGCTTTCTTATCCAGGCTTAAATAGCCCTTTATATTATCTTTTATTAAATTAGTAAGTATATTTACGGTTTATAAGTTCTTTTATTAGTAGGTAATAGAACTAAGAAATATAAATATATTCTGGGTTAATATTATTATTCTTATCCCTGCTATAGTACCTATAGCAAATTCGTTCTCTCGGTTCTAGATCCATACTATAGGCCGCATTAACTTAAGTAGTGTTTTCTAACTATACTTGAGACTAACTTCCTCTAGAATATAATTATTTAGACTCTTTACCTATTCTAGCTCGACTACTATAGCTACTATAGCATTCTCTATAACCTCTACTATAATTTCTAGTATATTCTTTCCGAAAACCCGAATTATATCTACTAGGCTATTAATACTATTATATTTATTATAATTAGGTAGGCTATATAAGCAGGCTACGGATATTCTCCCGAATTATAATAGTAGCTATATTAAGTTATCTCTATAGGTTCTCTTAAGTTATAGTAGTAATAGATAGTTTTTCCAGACTTCTTATTAGCTAGTTAATATTATCTCCCTTGGGTTTACTACTTTTAGTAAGTTTCATATAATTAGCTATAGGCTAGGTTCTTCTCTCACCCATACCTATAGTAGCTTCAGGAAGTATAATAGGAGAAACTAATAAGAAATAATTATCTTCTGATTTGGGAACCATATTATAAACTACTATATCCAAGTATTCTTATCTAAGTCTGGATATATCTGAGTTATTAGTAATATTAAAACGGTATTTCTTTTCTTTATACTAATAAGATATTACTACCTTCTTATATATCTTGCTATATTTATAAGTAGAAACGTTTATAGGCTCGAAATTCGTATTCTTAAGAATGCAATCCCTTACTAGAATAGATAATTCTCTTATAAACTTTTAGTACTAAGTAATTTCATCTATTTCTTTCCTTTTTAGTAATTCCTTTAATACTTTATTAAATATATTAATATAAGACTTGGAAGAAATCTCTTTATTCTAAGCTTATATAATAATCCAATTAAGAAAGTTATAGCTAATTTTGAGTATTTCCTAGTTATGTTTTCGGAATTCCTTTAGTAAGGCCTTAAAGAACTTAGTTTCCTAGTAATCTCCTGGGTTATTAGTATAGTACTCCGGTATAGCCTTAATCTAATTCTTATAAATAAATAAGATATAACGAATAATTCTCTCTCTTTTAGTATTATTAGGAATATAATAGTTCTTATATATATCTATATACTATTTCAAGAATATAGAAATATTACTTCCCTGAAACCATAGTATTTCAGGAGCTCCCGTAAGCGGCAGGTTTAAACCCGGTACTAGTATATACTTGTTCTCAGCTATATTAATCTTAATAACTTCTTCTATAACTAATTATAGAGTTTCCGTACCTGAAACTTTTATTAATAATATTCCTAAAGAACTAATTTCCTATTTAAACATATCTTTTAATTTAGGAACCGGGATTAGGGAGAAACCGGTTAATAATAACGGATATAATTAAGGTTCGAGTTTTAGTATTAGTAATAATAAAGTAATAGCTTTTCCTATCTTGTTCCTATTACTTATACTCTCTTTCCTGCTTCTTTAGCTTAATACCTACCGTATTTTCCTTTAATTTCGCTAAACTAGGTATACCTATTAATACTATTAAAGGTAATAATAAAAATAATAAATATAATTTCGCTAATTTTTCTGATTTTTCTAAATTCTCTTTTGTCTTTCTACTTAGTATCTATTTCTTTCTCTAGAAGCTTCTCTAGTTTATCTATATAATTTCTTATTTCCGATTTCTTTTTAATTCTTATTTCTAATTCCAGTTTACTATTCTACTTGAATTTAAGGACATTTCCTCTTTTAGATATCTTCTCCGGACTTAGAAGTAAGCTTTTCTACTAAAATTAATACTGCCTCTATTCCCGTTTTTATTATAACTAAAAGCAATATACAAATTAATAGTATAACTTTATTTCCGAGTACTAAAGTCTGTTTCTAACTAAGATCTAACTTATACTATTTTAGTATAATATTTCCCATTCTATTTCCTTTACTTCTTTTCCTTCTATAATTAGCCTCTATTCTCACTACCCTTATATACTATACTAATAACCATATCTTGCGGCTAACTCGTATTCAAGTTACTAGATATATCGGAAATTAATATAAGATACTGAGATTAATACTTATATATCCTTAATATTTTGGCCTTAGGCTCAAGGTATTATAATAGCCCTTTTCTCCCCTAACTTGCTAAGCTAATAATCCGCCTTACAGATATCCCTTAGAACTTTATAAGAGTATTACCTTAACTGCAAAGTTTCTATTCTCCCTATATTACTTACTATAAAATATGTGGGAGGGAAACTATAATAAGATAAAAACTTATATAAAATATACCAGAGTATAAAACATGACTTAATAGCAAAATAATAAATCAAAAGCATAAATAGTAAAGTATAAATAGTATATAGTATATAAAAGCTTAATTAATTAAATATTCATAAAGAATTATTATCTAAGTCTATAGAAAAACCAGCTTTCTTATATGATTTCCGAAAGTCACATATAAAAGGCCACGGCCTTTACTATATAACCTAAACCTTAAAACCACTAAAACAACATGATTTTTGACAAGTACAGCCTATTATACCATACTAGTTAAGTATATAGGTTAGCTCGGACTACTCTAACTAGTTAAGCCAGGAATTATTACCTGGCTAGTAAAGGCAGGATCTGGTTTATAGGACTTAATACTAGACTTAATCTAGGCAAATGAAATACTAGTAGACTAATTCTAAGCCATTATAGTCCTAATAAAGAAAGACTTTAATAGGGATAGCCTATAAGACTAATAATCTAATTATATACTAATAGAGGCCTTTTTCTTATAAGTATTAAGTATTTCCGGAAAGAAAAACAAATAAATAAGGAAGAAATAGGGAAATATAAACTGGAATATAATATAGAGAATAGTAGGTAAGAAAACTAAGAAATAATACTAGAACTTCCTAAAAATCCCTATAAGAGGAAATATTAACTATAAGTACGAGATATTTATCTAGATACTATAATAAACTATTATAAAAGCTATACTAATTATAAGAATTAGCCTCTTTATAGTTACTAGATTTATAAGGAAGCTAAAAGAATTATAAATAGAAATAAAATAAGCTAAATAGGACTATATAAGAGATTACTTTAAAGAAACCCTAAAATAATATAAGAAACTTAAATATAAATTTAAAAGAGCTATTAGAAGATTTAAATAAAACTAATAGAGGTATTATCTAGTATTAACTATTAGTAACCCGAAATAACTATAGAGAATAATAAAAGCTATTAAGAACTATAATATCTAATAAATAATATAACTTTCTAATATTATTTATAAAGAGAAAATAATAATAATACTAGAAGCTAAAGCTATATTATTAGGAGAATAATTCTTCTCCTTACTAGTTTTTATAAACTTAAGTAATATTACTATAAATTACTAATACCCGGACCTAATTAATTACCCTGAAATTATTATAGTAGAGATTATAATTATAGTAAAGAATATAAAGGCGGGAAAAGTACCCGGATTAGATAATATTAATAATAAGGTTATTAAATAAATAATTTATATTATTACTCTAATTTTAATCTAGAATTATAATTAGAGCCTTAAACTTAAATATTACCCGGTATACTTTAAGAAATTAATTATAATCCTATTAAAGAAGCCAGGAAAGAAAAAAGAAAAGAATAATACTAAGGCAAATAACTATAGACTAATTATTTTCCTAAATATACTAGGTAAGCTATTTGAATTAATTATAGCTATAAGGTTTAGCTACCTAATAAAGGCTGAAAATATCCTACTAGTAAGTTATATTAGAGAAAGAAAAGGCCTATCTTATAATATAATACTATATAATATAACTATAGTAATATATAAGGCCTAAAAAAAGAGGAAAAGTACTATATTTCTATTACTTAATATTTTAGGGGCTTTTAATAATATCTTATACTTAAGGCTAATTTATAACCTCAAATAATAATAACTAGGAGATAAATAGAGTAGGTAGATAGCTAGCTTCCTATAAGACTAGTTAATAATTATAAAGCTACCCGAGTATATTACGAATAGTTTTATTATAAATCTCGGGATATTATAGGGCTCTCTAACCTGCTCGAACCTATTCTCTTTCTATAATATTAAGCTTCTAGATATTATAGTAAAAGACAAATATAAGGAAATAAGATAAATAAATAATATTACTATCCTAGTAATTAAAGATAATAGTTATAAAAATATTAAAAAACTTATAAAGACATAAGCTAGATTTAATAATTAGAATAAAAGAATAGGCTTAGTCTTTATATTATATAAATTTTAGCTAGTCTATTTCTTTAGACTAGGAACTAAAGAAGTAGATAAAATAGCTAACTTATTACTAATATAACTCCCAAATAAGATATTTCTTTAGCTAAAGAAGAAAGCAAAATTACTTAAAGTAATTCTTAATAATAGACTAATCTTTAATAAATATCTTATTATAATAAAAATTAAAGCCTAGTAAGCCCTAGAAACTATATAATTCTTAGGCAAATTAATATGGGAAGTGAGCCTTATCTAAGCTTATAGTATCTATTATATTATAATACTTCTATTATTTCTATTTTATTTCTTAGTATAAGTATTCTCTAGAAATTAAAAAGTAATAATAACTATTATATAAATCCAGAAATAAGTAATACTTAATATATCGAATATATATAAAGTAATAGTAATAGAAGTACTTAATATAGAACTTTACTTAATACCGGCTAATCTAAAGCTAGCTAATAAAGCCTATAAAGTACTTATTAGAATAAACTCATTACTATAAAAGAAAGAAATTATTAAATAGTAATAGGCCTAAATACTAATAAGGCTTAATAATATACTCGAGTAATATATGGGCTTTTTTATAAATAATTATAAGATTTCTCTAGAAAGTATAAAATAAAAATATGGGTTTATAGTAATACCCTAAAGCCGGACCCTTAATACCTATACCAAAATTTAAGATATTTCGAAAAAGGCTACTAAAGTATATAATAGGATCCTACTTAAGAAAAAGAGACTTTACTTCTATATAAACGGATTAGAAATTATAAGATAGATCGGATTCATAATATATCTAAAAAAGATAAGAGAAATTAGGTTAATATATCTAGAAAAAGAAAAGATATTAATAGTATATACGGGCAAAGTATATGAAATTATTATAGCTTTATAAATAGTATAAGATAGTAGGAGATTTTGTCCTATCTATATCTTTATTAATAACTAATCTATTATTTAATTAGTAACTAATCTAATAATAAAGGAAGCCTAAATATATCTTGCTATAATTCATGTATTTCTTATTACTATACTTAATAAGATATAAATATACTAGATACCGGTATATATAGAAATAAAAAGTAATAAAACTATTAATATAATAATAAAGGAAATAATAGGATAAAGAAATAAAATAAATATTCTCGAGCTATATAAAAAAGAAGCAGATATAATAGTATTAATATATATACTAGTTAAAAATAGTATTAACTAATAACTAGGCTATAAATAAAGGAGATAGTAGAACGAGAGTAAATACGGTATATAATATAGGAGAATAGTACGGGAACCCTATTATAATATTCTAGAGAAATACTAGGAAATATCTAAATAACTTTAGGTAATACTAGTTTAAATAAAAACAGGAAAAATCGGGCTTAATAAGTTCCTATTAGGAAAGAAAGTAAAAGAATTCGAATTACTAAAATATAACTAATATTACCTGGATATAAACTAAACGGTTTCCTATATTCTATTTATCTGCCCTGCTTTTAAAGACTTATAGACGGAGTTTAAGACAAAAGTTAAACATATTATAGATCTGAGAATTATTTTATATAAGCCATTAATTATTATTCTAGTAGCTATCTTTATAATAAAAACTGGCCTCCTGGTACTATTTAGGGAAACCAATCTATTAGTACTTAAACTAGTAATAGCAGAAATAATAGAAATACTAATTCGGCTACTGAATTTTTCGAGATCTTAAATAAGTATTTAGAAAACTATAAGTAAGATACTAAATATAAGTCTCCTAGAAATAGGATCTTTTATCTCATTACTTTAACTTTACCTACTTGTATTTTTTAGGAAGAAACCTATATATAGATCTTTTATTTTATTACTTTTTATAGGGCACTAGGGATTGCCCGCTTCCTATAACCCCTTAGGGGGGTTTGCAGAATATGGTTAAAATATTCGCCTAACTATTATTACTAATATAGGACCGCCGTATGGTCGGTTACAGTTTAGGTTCAAATAAGGCTCTTTTAGTTACCGCCTTTTTACTATACCAAAAGTTAGAAGGAATATGGGATATGGGGATACGAGAACGGGGGCTTAATACGGGACTAATACAGGGGCTCCGGCCCATCTTTCTTGCCTATTTAGACTCTATTAAAAGTGTCGGGTACCGTATAAAAAGCGTCCCACCTCACAAGAATAGCGCGAAACTGCAAGAATAATATGAGATATGGCTTAATACTCTGGAAGCACCTGGAAACCCCCTTGGCTACGCAGAGTGGAAGGGCGAGGTCAATCTTATACCTAACCGAATAGGAGTAGACCAATACTTAACCCTAGCGCAGGCGTAAGGCTCCAGGATGCTCACCAGGGGAACCGTATCTTACTCTGTGGGGCTGAACTTCCCAGCATAGTACCCTCAAATGCTCTCTCTTGTACCCTGGCTCGAGTACCTTAGACTTGGAGACCTCTGGGGATCTATACTCTTGTATTTATAGTAATTTTGGGATCTGGGGACAGTGGGACAAAGACTGGGACATTGTACGGACAAGGGACAGGGATATTGGGACATCTTAGGGACTGTAACATTTCGGGGGCTCTCGAATGGGGGTATGAACGGGAGATTCCGGTAGATGCAAGTAGATACACGAGCGGCACGGGCGGGACCGGCGCTTATTAGACACCGCATGGGCCTTTTCAGGCCTGGAACGGTTTATGAATAAAACAAACAAACAAACGAGGACGTGCTCAGGATACTCAGGCTCTGCTCAGGCTTGCTCAGGCTCTGCTCAGGCTTGCCCAGGCTCTGCTCCGACATGCTCATCCTCGGCTCAGGTACGTTCACCCTCAGCTCAGGTTAAAGCAGCAGAGGCTCACATCCGCAGACTAAAACGGAACCTGCGAAAGGGAAAATTAATCCTGAGTCTATGGGTATTCTGACATAGTTCTCTGTGAGAGGGTACTGACGCTGCTTCGAGAGCCATGACGGGGATTTGCTGATCTTGTCTTGTAGCTGCCGCACCCATGATGCTAACGATGGGGGATTTGCATAAGTTTTCGGCAACGAGCGATAAAGCCAACCTTGGAGGCAGTATTCACCATGAAATCAGAAAATCTCAAGTCATGACTATGTGGTCAGAGACTATGTGGTCAGAGAACTGTCTACAGCTTGGGGAACATTCAAGAGAGATAGCTATATAACACTAGACAGAGATAGTATAAAGAAAACGAACATTACAATAGCGACGGTTCAAATCTCCGGACCGATCAACGGTCATGATAATAGCGTCGAAAAGAGTCCCAACTTCCCTCGGAGACCTAGTGCGTCTCCTCCACTTGGAAAGTGTCCTTCCTCGACAGGGCAAACCTGAACCGTTCAACACGTGACATCTTATCAACCACCATAGTCTTCATACGCACGACCGTCTCCCTTACAAAACTGTTCGTCTTCCAATCAAAGGAGCAAAGAATAGCTCGCTTCATACCACCTTCACTGCCACAGATGAAGACCGCAGTTGGCGGCACTTCCGCCCAGAACAGCGTCGCCTCCATGGAGTAGGTGTCGATGAGAGTATACAGCCTCTCGATTCCGCCTCTGTCCCTCCGCGCAGCCTCAAATTGACCTCGGGTCCAAGAAGCTGCCACAGGTTCTTCAGGGAGACATTCCCGGCCGTTCTCGTTGTGAAGCCTGCCCAGATGATGCCTTGAGAGCATACTGCCATTAGTGCTCCATTTGAGGCGGTGGTGATTGCTGGCAAAAAGGCACTTCTCGACTTGTGCAATGTCCGCGCAGCCCTCGATGCCGAAGAACCAGCCCTGGGTGCTCCAGAACTTCCCGCGATAGATCTTGAGCATGGCCCAGGGGGCATAGACGAGGACAAAGATAGTCAGGATGAGGGAAATAATGCCGATGATGAGCAGTGGGCTCGTTGGGCGAGGTATGACAATATTTGGCCCGTATGGGTTCTTGATGGTGGTGTTACCAGGCTTTGGAGACTCGGCAATAAGGATGACAGCCGTGAGGAAGTATGCAGCTCCGAGACGGATGCCCCACTTCACGGCCTCTCTCCACGCCGTCTTGCGCTTAGAGAATGCAACGGGGTGCAGCTTACGCCAGTGGATGGTTGCACCGTAGGCACCATCCAGAACGACAGTGCTATTATCTGCGATTGCCGCCACCTGGATGATGGGTTCGATATCCCACAAGTTGACCTTCTTCCAGGCGTCTTTCCACTCGTGCCAGGGTGCTGACCGCCGATGAGGAAGAAGGCAGATTAAGCGTTCAAGCAACCGATCGCTGTCGTTGGCAAGAGACAGTCGAGCGAAGGCCTCAAAGTCTTCATCACTAGCCTTGACAGGCGGACGACGGCGCAGAAGACCCATTAAAGCGTACGAACAGTCGCCATTGAGGAATTTGAAAGTGCTCTTTTTGCGTCGCCATAAGTGTTGAACTAGCTAAAGCAATATAGCTAGGGTCACGTGCTTGCAATGTAAACCAAGTAAAACGTACTGAATTGACTGCTGTTCTACAGTGGTAAGTAGCCCGTATATATAGCCCTGAACCCCCTAAGTCACATGTACTAAATCCCTATGCCAGCTGAACCGATTACAGCTATACAGGGTATTCCAGCCGTACATGGTATTCCAGCTATACAGGGTATTCCAGCCGTACAGGGTATTCCAGCTATACAGGGTATTCCAGCCGTACAGGGTATTCCAGCTATACAGGGTATTCCAGCTGGACAGGGTATTAAGCTAGTGCACAGCCCCATGGCGTTCGGTTCCAGGGCTTACTAAGCCTATTAGGGGCCTCAGGCCCCTAATTTCAACAATAAGGCCTGTGCTGCATGCGTAATAAGTTCAAGTGTTGGCAAGACCAATGTACCCTCGAAATGGTCCACGAGAGAAGCAATATCTGTGGCATCTTGCTTAGTCTCGTATGCACGCGACGAGAAGGCGGCTTTTGTCCACGAATCTTTCCCGACCCCGAAGGTTCGCTTCCCCCTGTTGTCGTGAGGCACTTCAACACGCGTCTGTTCTCGGAAGTTCGTAATATCAATAGACTCCACCTTGTTTGGGGTTGAAGGGAGATAGTAAATATCGATCGATTTACCCGGCGGGGCCAAGAGGAGCTCAGGTAAGGTCCAGAGTCGGGAGCCCCATTGCTGAAGCCAAAGCCTTTTGGCCTCGTCATCATTTCTCGGAATCCGCCCGGTTGGTCTCCCCCTTTCGAAAACTTCCTGGTTCCTTGGGCCAAGAATAAGAACCATTTTCTTTGCGGCTCGCATCACATCACAGATACGATATACGTCAGGTTGAAGCTGTTGCAAGATGACAAAATGTTAGATACTTGATGAAGTTCTTGGAAGGGACAACACATACCTGCTTCACCTCGCCATCCATACCCCTCTCCTTCTGCTCAATTATGGCAGAATCGACACATTCAAAGTCAATATAGAATGCATTCAAGCCACTATCTGCAACGGCTTTGAGAGCAATGCGAGTTAGATATCCACGGTCAATATGGATCTGATCTCTCAGGCTTTGTTCGAAATTCCGGGACCAAGAATTGCCTTTAAGTTCATCTCCTTGCTTCCAAGATTGTATCTCTTCCTCCCCTTGGGTAAGGAACTGTTTCCTTGAATATGACATGAAAGCATATTCAAAGTCCTGACTTGTGTTGTCACCCACCAGGTTTGGTACCGGAAGACATATATACCCTTTCGGGTCTCTATCGTCCTTGAAACACAGATGAGTTGGGAGGATTCGCCGATCCCAAACACCATCGGCGATAATAGGTTGTCTGAAGCCCGGTGAGGAGTCTAGCCCTGTAGGACGAGTAGACGAGTTTGTGCCGGAGGGACCAGCACCATCATCACCAACCCCGGGCCAAATTTCTTGTTCCGTGTCTGGATCGGGAGCATTGTCCCTGTTACCAGGATCCTCAGTATCCCCTGTGTTGTTGCCGTGATATTCTTCTTGAATATTGCGCGCATTCTCCGGATAGTCCCAGTCGCGGTATCGAATGGGGTCGAAGTTTCCTCCATTGCGAAGGGGTTCTTCGATGCTAGTTGGCCAGATGAGCTTTGATTGAAGTTCAATCAGTATCTTCCCGTGTGTGGGTAAGGACTGCGTACCATTGCGGTCAAGGCAATAGTGCCAAAGAAATATCGCAGGACCAACCACCAGCATGTGTTCCTGTCATATCTCCACAGATCTACCCATGTTTTGATCTCCTGATTTGAAGAAGTAACAGCAGTAATATGACTGCCATCTTCCTCGTCATTGGCGGCTTGAGGTGCAATGAGTTCAGGGGGGACACCGGCATAGATCCAGTATATAAGCTGCATGGCAAGGGAAGACTTGTTCTTCATTCTAGTGCGGTCCCATGTAGCATTGAAATGGCCAAACGAGGCAGCTCTTGTTGTCTGAACCAGTCGTTGCGGATCTTTGGGGAGGGGAGGGTCCTTGTCACGGCTCCATCGGTCTCGAATAGCACTAGCTGCGAGAGCTGCCCATGAGTCCTCTGTGACAAGAAAGGTTCCGGTATCCTTCACAACTTCCCCTGTTGTTCTATAATGCGATTGTGCAGCACCAACCACCGTGTCAAGTTTTGTGCTTCTCTGAGTGATTACTTTCTTTGGCATACCATCTTCGGGGTCGATAAAATAGGAGACGTCGTTTTCCAAGTTATGGAGTCTGCCGTATCTGTCCTTGTATCTGTTACTGACTCTCTGTCCCTTTCCCTTGTCAGCTTGTATTGCAAGAGCGTATCAGGCAGCAATGAACTTAAGACGTGTTATATACCACGTCAAACGCAGAACTGGGGTATAAGGAAACAGAGAGTAAGAGACGCTTACCTGTGGCGGTATTTTCTCTCCGGAATCAACAGCAGTTGGTGTCACCTCCCAAGGGATGGACTGGACATAAGCCTCGAGGATGTTAGTTCATGCATGGACGTCTGAGAATACTGGATCTAACCTCTGGAGTTGCCTGAGCATGCTCGAAGGTCCCTCGCGGTTGACTCATGATTACCTACACCGAAGTTAGAATATCAACGGAGAACATTGGAGATATGAGGGCAATACTAATCACGAGTGGTGAGTCTCTGATTTCAGTAGATGTGGGTAGATGGTCCTTTTGGGTTTAGATATCTCGGAATGGAAATATATATTAGACCCCGAAGGCAATACATGGGGGAAAGGCATTGAAATATCCCCTGTGGTGAGAGCCCACAGATGTGTTCGATGCATTGGCCTTGCCCGTCTTAGTCTGGCACGAATTAGCTTGTGTGCAAGATTGCTCGACAGCCATCTCGATCACCTTATTCATTGCGAAGGAATAGAAGAAGAACATAACTTATTTTGCGGTGATTGCCGTTCGGTGTGGGCTCCAAAGGGTGGAGCAGGCTGGACGAACAATGACAACAATGGCGACTCCAATATCTGCAACTCCACTCTTCAGGAGGTCATGCGGTCAAAAGAACGCTTGACAGGGCTTGTGAGAACAAGTCATGGACAAAGTGGACACTGTTGACATTTTCACAGATTCTAATTTGTCAATACGCAGATAATGTCTTGAAGGGGCTGAGGAATACCATCACCAAAGGATTGTCAACGCTGCCAAGGCGTCCAATAAATGCCAAGAAAGTCTACTACAGAGCCGCATTGTGGGGTGTCCCAAAGTGCGAAGTGGTCAATGAAGAAACAAATTTGCACCGGCTGAAAAAAAGTAATGCTCTGTGGAATAGTGTGTCTCCTGATCTTGTTCGTGGCGTCCAGCCACACTTCTCAGCTATCGGGGCCTCGGTGAGGGGAAGCAGGGAAGATAGGCTGATATCAATAAATTGCCCTTGCCTTACTTGAATGAACTGTAACAAGTCAAAGAATGATCTAGTCGGCGGGGATGGCGAGCCTGTGTAACATTTACTCGCGTGCCTGAGAGGTTGACAAATCACAATGTTTTGGTGACAGCTTGAGCTGAGAAGCGTTCTGCGCCTCGATAAGAAACTTTGGAAGTGTGCCAAGGCTTGCAGAAATGTCTCGCAACTCCACAAATTCGAAGCATTGCGTAGGAAAGACGGATCCTAGCCCACCCCGTGGCCTCTTTCGTCTTTAGGATAGGAATGGCGATCTCTACGAGTGAAGATCGAAGATCCCGAAGGTACAGTGCTGGTTGATCTCCGGCAACGTGTACACACCGCAGAAGTCAAGGGTGCGTTTATGCTTTCGCTGTTTCAGTGACAATGGATTGTTGAGCCTTGGCATGGCTGGAATTGAATTACCTTCCTGGAGAAGGCTGAATTCTGAAGTGGGCATCGTGCGTGGATGTAGCCTCTCTCGTAACAGGCTCTGAAGAAGTGATATAAGAGCCAAAGGGTATCAGTGCGGGCTAGCTGAGGAGCAAAGCATCCTAAAAAGGTGGTATTAAAGCTGAAAAGAAGGCTGTCTTGTCCAGGGCTTCCTCTTTAAGCAATGAAGGAGATGGTGCTGCTCCCGCTTGGACAAAGGCCACCCTCTCTTGGTTCTAGATGAGATTAATAGAGTCATAATTCCTTTACTTTTAATAAGAATTATAAGTTTATTATTGAGAGCAATAAGGAATAATTTTATATCTTTATAAGTAATAAAGAAGCTTTTACTTCTTGTAAAATAACTTATAATACTCGAATTAATATATTAAATATTTATAAAATTATAATTAAGTAATTAATTATTAAATAAAGTACTAAGTATTAGTTTTTTAATAAATAATTTTCTAGTAATTTAGACCTTTTTTATAAATAATTAATAAAGCTAATAATGCTTTTTAATTAGTGAAATTAAAGTTCTTTTAATTAAAATTAAAGTAATTTCAAAGTAATTTATAAATAATATAATTTTTAATATTATATATTTTAAACTTATAAAATATATAATAAGTAATTCAATTATTTTTATAACAAGTCAAGACCCGATTTATATACTTGGCTAGAAGCCTTTATTAAGTCATATAATAAAGGCCAGAGCCTTTTATAATGCATATATTAATAGTAAGCGTCTAGCTGGGTTTGGTAGCCTAATTGGGCTAGTGCTTATATGGGATCGCATTCCCTAATTGAGATTAGTGCTTCCGTACATCCAGTGGAGCGCTAGATTCTATATATAGAGGCATGCGAGCTTTGGAAATGGATATCGATTAGTTTATCTATGGGAACCAGTTCTTGGAATTAATTATACTTCCACGCTTCACTCCATACTTTACCTTGGATTCCACCCCTTACCTTGACTACTTGCATAGTGTGGTACGGCAAGCCGTACTCTCCAAAAATCATATTGTTTTGGCGGTTTTGAGGTTTTGGTCACATGGCAAAGGCCGCGGCCTTTTATATATAACTTGAGGAAATTATATAAGAAGACTGGTTTTTCTATAGTCCTAGAGAATAATCTCTCCTTTATATTTAATTAATTAAGCTTTTACATACTATATACTATTTATATATTACTATTTATATTTTAATCTTATTA